ACACACACACACACACGCACACACACTCACTCACACACACTTAGAAAGATGTAATATACTGGATAAACAATATCTTCCCCACGTACAAACAAATAAAACCCACGTCTTCTGGGTACAAAACGAAGAGTTGAATCATTCCAACACAAACTCTGGCAACATAGCCTAGTGGTCAGGCTACCGCACTCGTAATCGTGAGGTTGCAGGTTCGGGGGTTCGAGCCGCGGGCCCGACGTTGTGTCCTTGGGAAAGGCACTTTAAACGAATTTTCCTCTCTTCACCCTAGTGGGAATGGGTTCCCGGCTAGGCTTTCAGAAAGCCTAGGTTCCCGGCCATAGACAGCGAAAGACCTTGTCAGTATGTTACTGTTTTAGCGCTTATAAATGGCCGCTTGCAGTGTATGCTTCCCTGGAAGTTGAAGTTGTTTCAGAATGCTCTCAGGTCTGCTGGGGTAATAGCAATATGTAGTATAGATTGTGAAGCACATAGAGCTAGCTGTTGAGCGGGAATTTGTGTTACACAAATATTAACTATTATCAATTATTATAGCCCACCTGTTGTAGGCGAGAAAACTCCTCAGTATCTCGTCGTCGAGATCAGAAAAGCTGGGGGCCACGTTCTCGTCCAATGTTACCGCCCTGGGATCTAGCGCACGTTTCGCGGAGACTCCTCGGCATGCTGGGGCGAAAACAAACCTCCTGTGGGTCAGAAACAACGTAAAAAGGACCGTATTATAGTCATGTAAAGTAGTGCTAAAAGAAGCCCCAGTGGGCTGCTCACTGATAAAAATAAAAACAACGAAGAGACAAATTAAATTAATACACTTTCCGCGACATTTGAAAAGACATAAAGGCCTTGAACATCTTGTTCTCACTGAGAAAATAGAAAGCGTTAGAGGCAGGGATAACAAAAAATAACCTATTTAGAGAACTTGAACAGATGGTTGACGGGTAAAGGCCAGGAAAATAAAGTTGTTTTTTCCTGTGGTCCCGAGCAGAAAATGAGTGGCGAACCATAATGGCCGATGTCTGTTTCGGGTCTTTCACTCCATGATGATCAGTCATGAGACATATTATGCTTCATGATCGTGATATCTAAAAGTCCATACATTAACGGTACTTTTACTTGTTTTTTATGCTGACAATAAAAGCACCCGCACACTCCAAAGACAACCACCGTCTATGTTGTAGGGTTAGGCACCTCGCCGTCGCACGCAGAAGACCTGAATTCGATTCCTATGTGGAGAGGATTTTTATCAGCTATCGTCGCTTTCTGCTAAGACTTTCAGCAATGGTTGTCCCTGATGGGAATGGTCAAAGACTGCCCCAGAAATCAACTAAATTGTGTCGATGGGGACGTAAAACATCTTTAATTACTCAATGCTAAATTTGATCTGAACTCTCTGGACATCTCTGAGCATCCCTCCCCTCAACCAAAAAATAAAAGCGAACCCCTTAGTATCTTATACCCCCCAAAAATCAATAATTTCCTCCCCTATTCCGTAATCATACTTCGCAACGCCGTTACTCCCACCAAAGACGGTCTTTACTCACACGATGCCGCATTTATTTATGATGCGAATGCGCGTAGGTTCAGTGACTGGTCACGATGGCGAGCCAGACAATCTAAAAATCAGACGACGCTTGTATTTTCTTT